CCACCCCCCCCCCCCCCCCCCCCCCAAAAAAAAAAAACACACCACAAAACCCAGAACACCCCATCACAAAAAACCCAAAACAAACCCACAAAATCTTAACATTTCTCTCTAGGAGCTCATGAGCCTTCCCTTACAGAAGGGATAGCAATGTCATCAACATGAAATCTGATAATTTTAAAATAAAACATGGGAATAAAATTGTAAAAGTTGGAAAAGACTTTTTTTTGTTTTAAAAAAGGCATTCATGCATGATATCTAATGCCATCAGTACACTTGTTACTGACATAGCTTCTGCAGAAGTAACATAAACACACAACATAAAGAAGGAGGAATTCTTACACATTTTTTAGTAGTAATGTAAAAAGTTAGTATTTCTAACACCAGCAGTGAAATGGCTGAATTATTTTGGCTGTAGTTTTCCAGCATAATGGCTATAAAATGCAATAAAAATGGAAAAAAATCTTATTCTGAGTGATTTTAGTCTGATAAAATTAAAGAAAAAACAAATAAAAGCAAGATCTCACAGTTGAAAACTTTGGGATTTCTTAAAAAAAGGCATGGACTGACTGAATCTTTTTCCTGATCAAAAGTTAACAAAAATGGGTTGTTAAACTGGGATGTATTGGGCAGGGGGGGGAGGTAAAAACCAGGGAACACTCAAATCAAGAAACAGAAGAAAGATTTGCTCTGCAAATGAGTCTGAGAATAGAAATTGGTAGTAAGATGGTGTCATAGCAATTTTCTTCAGTCTTAAGTCTAGCAACAATGCAGGGATTGCCCTCATTTTGGTTATACAACCACAGAAGACCCAAGGTCCAACAGCAACACTTTTTCCTTTTACCATCTTTAACACCACTAATCACCAGCAGTTTACATGCCAGTATTAAACACAAATGAATATAGTTAACTTAGAAAAGGACGGACATAATTATTACCATTTATCTAATCTAAACACACTTAGGGAAAAGAGAAGTATGTTTAAAGTGGTTATGTGAATACCAAAGGAAGAAGTAGTATTTCAGCTGAAGTGATGCCAAAACTATGATATACAGCTTTATACTCCATTCTCCTACTGTCTGCCTGAGACCAGTTCTCAAGTAAAAACACAGAGTTCAACCTCGTAAGATGCTGGGTATCTGAATTAAACAACTAGATTGCGAGTTTTATTAGCAGCACTACAATAATCTCACCACTTATGTTTCTAAACTGTCCCTGTCAGAGCTCTTCCTCCTCCAGCTACTTCCAGACCACAACCACCTTCCAAATTATTTTTTTCTACCTGCAAATAAGTTACTGCACACATTCCTTTTGAATATGGTCACAGTCCAGTTACCCATACTTTCTGTTCTTGAAGTTGGAGTTTAGTTGTAAATTTCGGGTGGACCTCGAAGTCTGACAGTCAGTCTCCCAGATGTAGCACAGTGCTTTCAATACTCTTACAGATGAGTTTAGACTTCCTTGAAACCTAGATTTCCAGAGAATGACTTTTTTCTTTCTCTCCTCTCATGTTCAAATACAGCAACTGATTACAGCGGAAAGTGTGATCTGTCAGTCCTCAGATTTATCTTTCTCAGTACAATGTGTGGACCCATCACCACATACAAGTTCGATCTGACAGTCACAGGCATAATGCTAGCTCTTGCTGTTGTGTTTACAAATTAAGCAGTCATGTAAATAGACCCCACACCTAGAGGGAGCAGAAGGCTTCAGTACTGCTAAACAGCTATTAATTGAAGTTTTGTTACAGTTTTCTCCTTTGGAGAGCTTTGTATACCCAAGGACATGTCTGCACTTAGATATAAAGTATAGAATGCTTCAAAGAAACAAGAGTGCACTTAGTCTCAGTAACACTATTTTGTCATGTTGCAAAATCTGTTTGATTGCCCTTCAAAACCTTCTATTTGTATTTACTGTCACAGCAGTGACAGTAATGAATGACTTTGGCCAGACTACTTTGATAATCAGAACTATCAAGCCCCACTGAATTCAAACTTGCAGAAACACTCTGGTATGATTTCTAGCCTTGAGACTAGGTACCTATTTGAAACCAGCAAGTAATCCATGACTATTGAAAGTTACTTGAAGCATGCTTGCCAAGTTCTTCTCCTGCAAAATCGTATTTACTGCTTTTAGCATAGCTCCCCTCATCTCCAAAAGCGGGTATTTTCCACTTAAAAGTTCCATATATATACTTCAGGTACAAAAAGAAATGCAGTGCATTTCCCACATTAATTGGAATCTATATCATCAAGCCACAGCATCTAGTTCTTTGGCAACTGTCAGTCTCCAACGTAGGTCCACTAATCAGTACTGACTGGGTTATATTTTTGTTATCTAACAACATGTTATCTAACAAC